AAGTACACGCCTACGTTTAGTACAATGTTACTTTAACGTTACTAGCAGTCGTAAGAAAAAAAAATAATATAGCGAAACACTCTGTGATTATACCAAAATTATTGCTCAAACTGTAAATTTAAATTTTTACCAGTTTCATCAGTCGATATCTACTGCTCGAACTGTAAATTTCACTTCATTGCGGCTTCATCAAATTCCAATCATCACCATCAACAATGACCATAGTTTGTTCACGCGCCTTCTGTAGTTTTGTTTGTCGTTAAACACAAAGCTATACAATGAGCTATTCGTGCTCTGCCCACGCGAGGATCGAAACCAAAGTTTTAACATTATAAATCCACAGGCTTACTGGTGAGTCCTTCTGCAATAATCTTTTCTGTCAATAAACAACAAAAAAGTGCTCACTTCTATTCACTGTGTCCCGTCCTCATTTTTCTTACCATTTTTTATCACAGAATCCTTGATGTCTTGTTTAATCAGCGGGCTACTGATTACGCTTTGGCTTTAACAGTTTGCTTAACTATTAATTATGTAGTAAAAGTACCACAACATTTTATACTTTTATTTTTTCAGAAGTTCGCTACTTTGCTGTAGTTTAGCAGAAATAGCCAATGCTACTTTCTAAATAAATAAGTAAAACACCCTGCATGCAACTTTTGATTACGAACTTCTACAGCAGGAAACAATGTTGTAATAACTTATCAACTATGGTAATTTTAATTCTCTATTCAGACCATAACTAATGCCTTAAAACGAATATCTAGGAATTAAATATAAATCATTTGGTTTATCTTCTTTAACTTTCAATTATCTGCAATAATACTTTAGCCTAAAAAACGGAGTTTCTTTTGTTTGTAACGTCCGATTAAAAATTTTATGTGATACTAATAAGGGCCACATCTGGGGCTTCTCCTGGTTTAATAATTTAACATCGCTGTACTAGTTTTTGTTTGTTTCCAACTGACCTGGGAAGTTGAGCTAATCTAATGCGAGCTTTGAAGTGGTTGTTTTCAATTAGCAACGTTATCTAAATAAGTAAGTTCTAACGTAAAACTTGATCTCAAAGCACCTATATTGTTTTACAAAAAATGATACAAATGTCTACGAAAAAGAGAAACCAACAAAGAGTTGAAAGTCTTCCATAATAGCGCAGTAAAGCAAAGTAAAACATGTTAATGTGTAAATTAAGTAATCAAGTGTATCAAATTCTGTGAAGGTCCTAATAATAATTAAGTTTCAGGTTGGTGAAATTGTTTCTAAAATGTAAAAGAACTTAACCTCGTGTTTATTGTTTATAATTGTTGATTTCCGGTTTGAATTGCATTTTACTGAAATAACGAAATATACTTAGATTAAAAGAAAAATCATCTCTTATATAAACTTATTTCATAATATGTAAGGTCTTGATATTTTTTTACCTTATAAATTTCATGGAATAACATGTATAACTTAAAACACCAAGTTTAAAAATATCCCTAAACAGCTGCCGCAGGCTGTATTTTAAAGTTTTTTTTTTAAACGTACATCGTACAAGAACACTGCCTGAGGAATAATCATAGTATTAAACCTGCCATATTTTGCTATAATCTGTATATGCAATTGAAACAAGAATGATATCAAACTATACTTAGCAAAACACAAAATGGCTGCACATTTGTATATAGTTGACTGTGTATTTCTTAGATGTTTTGAAATATAAAATAAAATATTGGTGGTATCATAATTAGAAAAGAATCTTTGGGCGTAGCTATAATAATGGAACGACAACATTCTAAGTATGTGGGAGGGAGGAGATTTTCGCTACTGTCATATTCCTTTTACAGGTAATGTTCTTTAGAAAAAGAATGCTGAGATAGTTTTACATTAATATTTTTATTTCCCTCAAAACTCGTGACGACACGTTTTACTTATTATCGGGGATCGTCAGGGCAAAAAGAGTTGTTAATCTACAAGTCTACAGTTAAATGTCTAAAGC